CCACGTGGCCGGCATGACTAAACGCCAAAGGCGCTCAGAATGCTGTTACCTTCCCACCAAAGTAGTCCCCATTTTTCTACTTGCATTTTTTTTACATGCTTTCAAACTGCTAGGTTGGCAGAAGTAGAATGCAGTACTGCAGGGCTAATTAATGATCACTCCAGGAGTTTGATTATGAGTTATTCAGCTTCCATCCTTCCGAGATCAATAAAATGAGGACCCAGATTGTTGGGTGCAATAAGCTGACTTTTTACACCGCTTAGAGAGGGCTGTAAAGCACTGAAGCAGTATATAAGTCTGCCATTGCTATTGGGAACTGGGCACCAAGTGCTCAGAATGCAATCATATAATCACAGGGATCCTATTTGCTATTTATGGCAATATAGAAATTTAAACTACATGGATTAAAATACTTACCTTTGTGTGGTGCCAAATTCTATATGAGGGAGAAAAAAAACTTTGTATTGTGCAGACATAATTCTCAAAGTTCATACAATCTTCTTTAGATCTATTCACAATTTAAGTGCTGTGGAGTTCAAAAATATCTTGTCTCCAGTGTTATCGGATTACCAGTTCGGTAGACAATATGACACATTATTCTAAATATTGGTTGACAAGCCCATGCACGCACGGGCGGGGGAGTGAAGCAATGTAGGACTTAAAACACATCAAGGTTAGGACTACGAATACCATTTCCCCTAATGACTATATAAGCATTTCCCTACCGCCGTAATAAATGGCTTATTTACTAATGCAAGTCATCTCGACTCCTGCTCCAAAAAAGCCGTTTCAGTCTCTTTTCCGTAAGGGTAATTTCCGGCCCCTTTACAGATGTTCTGCAGAAGTCCCGAAGTCGCCCACCGCTTCACCTTTCCAACTGATTCATGAATCACAGTCAGAGTAGGAGGAGAGCGCAGAGCCGGAAGTCCTTCCTCACGCTCCCATTGGTCCTTCACTTTATCAATCAGGCCCTGGAGGACCAACACACTTGCAATACTGCCCCGCATTTTCTTTTAAGTAGGGAGGGCTAAGAAAAGGAGCTCTGTGCCTCTCTTGCCCTTTCCCTTCGCCAAGTCTCGGTTCTTTGTGGTCTGTGAATGTGAGTCCTTTCAGCGCCTCTGTTTCAATTCAGTTCTCCCTCTTCCCCGCCGCGCGCTCGCGTTTGATTGGGCAACATCTGGGAACGGAACCTTAATACCGTTAGAACGGGGTGGGTAGGGAGTGGAGGGGCCGGCGCGAGCCGTTTCCAGCGCGCAGGCGGCGTGCCGGGTTTCTTATCCCAAGATTCCGAACGGCGAGGAACCATCCGAGGCAACTCGTCCGCCGTTTGGATTGCAGCGGGTCTCGCCGCCGCCTGTCCCTGCCTTTCTTTAGCTCCGCCCCCGCAGCCCGCCTCCACACGCCCCTTACCCTCGCGCCGCCGAACCAGGAGCAAGAGCGGGCGAGAACAGCGCTGCCGCTGCTGCTTTTGCTGCCGCCGCCGTCGTCGCAACGGGCCCGCGGTGGCGAAGTAACTACCCATGTTTCCTTCTGGAACCCCAGCAACCGCGACGACTTGGGGGAGAGGCGTCCCATCGCTCTTGGCTCGGCCGGCCTCGCTGCGGAGGCTTAAGGCGTGCCGTGTGGTGCTGCTGGCTGCAAGGGCTGCAACGAGGGACGGAGAGCGCTTACCAAGAAACCGGAACCAGGAAAACTGCTGGGATTTAATAACACGGGCTGCGCTTAGGGCTGTTGTGTGCCCGGAGGGGAGGCAGGGAAAAGAGAAAACAAGAGGTCGCAGTGAGGCGGCAGAAAAGCTCACCAGGCGGCACTTCTTGGGGACACAGTTGCCTAACCTTCGACCTCACCAAAGCTGGCCAGGCAAAGGCAAAGGAGGCTGATGGTTGTTTGAAACTCATCTTGGATACTGTGGATTTAACAAAAAAGCAACTTTACCTTTCCATTCTGGGATTTATTTTCTTTCCTCGGTACTTTTAAAAAACTATAACGGTACCCACAGACAAGTATCGCGTGTAGTTCGCCAACTTGTACGTATTTTTAATGTCTCTGTCCCATATATATGGTGTGTAAGAGAAGAGATGTTATTTTTTCCCCTCTTTCTCTGCTACCAGATGCTGGTTGGGGGAGGGAGGTTGGTAATATGGCTGTTAAAACCTTTGTTACTCGACAGATGTATTTGTCCCTTGTGAACCATATTTGAAAAGAATTATTTGTGAGAAAGTATAAGTTTTAACATGGAAAAGTGGGCATAAAAACAGTGGACTGATAACATTTTTAAAGATATAAAAAGAGCTAGAAGGAAAAACAGTTGATCAAATTTATTTCTGGATAAAGATTACCAGGTTTTTCTGCTGCTTCTTCACCATCAAAAGTTAAAACTCCCAGTATAGCTTACACACATTTTTCCTTAGAGTGACTGTGTGAAGTCAGTATTGATATATTTTATGTCTGGGCAAGAGACATCAACAATATCACTGCATTATATCTTTTTTTTTCTTTTCTTTTCCAAATTTAAGATCCCAGATGGCCAATTCCCTCAATGGCCGGAACCCAGGTGGCCGAGGAGGAAACCCCCGCAAAGGGCGTATTCTGGGATTCATTGATGCTATTCAGGATGCAGTTGGCCCCCCCAAGCAGGCAGCTGCTGATCGCAGGACTGTGGAAAAAACTTGGAAATTAATGGATAAAGTGGTGAGTCTGTAAATTATATTTGTAACAAAAATATATGTACCCAGAAATTATTGATGGATTAGACAAAACAATGTGTGTTTCAGGTTCATAATAGATATTATATGCTTATTCAGCCTTTAACTATGTTTACTCTCAGTATAAAATTATATTAAATATACTTTAAATATACAGCTCTTCAGTTGTAAGATTGTTAATATGTTTCATTTATATCACTTTGGCTTATGTTGTTGTACTGTTTCCTTGAAAATGAAACCAATTCAGGCAATCAGATTGAGATCTACTCTTACATTAATTGTATGCATGCAATCAAATCTGCTGAAAAAAAAGTAGTTTTATTATTTTGACCAGATGAACAACAGTTTCATTATCCTCAGTTGTAATGTCACAATAAAATTATATTATGTAATCAAATCTTGGAAAATTATTCATCATTGGAGGATAAAGTAATGTACTAAAATATCTGTTTTAAACTAGAGTTACTTATTTTGTAGATTATTTAGTAGGAGCATGTATTATGAAATACAGATAGAAGGAAATCAGTATTTATTCTGAACAAAAATGTATTGTAATGGAGGTAGAATGTTCTTAAAATTATATATGCAGCATTTGTGATAAGCTTAGTATAATAGCTCATTTTCAGTCCTTGCAAATTACATTTTATACATAGATTTGTGTGAGTGATTTCATTGTAGTGTTCATAAAACATCACAATTGTAAGTAGAAAATGCTAAATGCATAGAACTATAATATTTTTACACGTAGCATATAAAACATTTTAAAGAGGCCACCAGTCTGTCTAATAGTTATCTAAAAAGTTCATAGATTCTTTATGAGGAATAGACCTGATATAAAACAGTTTAAAGCATTTGCATTGATCATTAAGGCACATAAGTGTCTTACAGGGTTTTATGCATTATATTATTCCCACTACTGTTATATGGCAAGGTAGTTACAGTTTTTCCCAGGAATTCTGATGTACTATCAACTTTGGATGCCTCGTGAAAGTTGTTTAAAGATAGTGAGCACTACCAAAATTGTGGCAATAACTCAGATTAAAACATATGTCTGTAACAACCTATTTTCTTAGAATCAGTTCAGAATTTAAAATATCCATAGAAATGTATTGTTGACTCAAACCTATGGTAGACTTGTACGTTTTTTATTTAGTTGCTAAGTCATTGTCAGTTCCAAATCTGCGTTTTTAAAATTACACTTTTACGTTTAATTCATATTAGTTTAGTACAATTTTAAAGGAGCAAACTTTTATTTAAGGTTAAAAATGTTAAGTGTGAAAACAATTACCTGCTGAAGTTATGGGTTATACTTTTCTTGGCTAAATAAACTTTTGTTGGATTCCAACATTAACCTGGAAGTTGGACATGATGACCTCAGTTACTCTGTAATTCTGTGATATGCTATAATGTGAAATGTTGGAAAATTACAGGACATAAGTATGCAATTCTAGTTATATTACATTGAATGTAACAAAATAAGATAACTATACCAGCTCAAAATGTTGTACAGTTTGACTTTACCTATTAAAGCCTGAATCTCTTACATCATTTTCTATTCTGATGTTTTTTACCAGAAATGCCAAAAATTGAATGTGGGTCATTTTACATAACCCTTGACTGCTGATTATAGTTTTACTTCCCAAAGTAAAAATATTATAAAAAGAGTTGACTATGGTTTACTCGGTGATTGATCCAGATTCAATATTGCAATATTACCCTGGGACAAGTTACATTTGCCTTCATTCATGAGACTTGGCTATTCTCTAAATACACAATATAACTCTTAGCTTTTCAGTTTTAGTTTTTATTTAAAACATTTATTCCTTGCCTGTTTACTTGAGATTTCAAGACATATTACAATAATTAAATATTATTGCTGCAAAATTTCTTCTAAAGAACTGGTTTAGAAGAGCTTGGTACTATAAATGAACTCAGTATTTTCAAATGGTTGAAGCAGTCATGTCATTTTTTAGGCTCATATGGTTGTCTCATCGGTGCTATATCACTATAGTCACTACATCTATGTGTGAGTGCATGCATATATCTGGAAATAGTTGAGCAGTTCCCAAAACAGCTGCATGAGTCTGGAAAAAGTTTACTCTTTAACAGTTGGGACCATATTTTTAAATGGATTTCGGATTTGAAAATAATTTGAATTAACTTCCTTGGTTGTTTTAATTTTTAAAGAAGAGGTAGCCTGAAATCCCAAATTCATAGAATAGTTGGCTATCTTTTTCTGAGCTACAAAAAAACTTCATATGATGTACCTTAACATCAATTCTTGATCTCCTTGCCACATTTTTTCTGCCAAAGTTATTTCAGTTGAGAAGGGGTTTTTTGGGGATGATTTGCACAATGTTATTACATAGTAATATTTAAACTCTTAAAACACAAATCAGCAACAGGAATATTAAAATTTATAATTGATACTATTTTGATGAGTTAGAATGGTATATGGAATCATGGGCTTAATCTAAATAACTGTGATGTCAACAAAATTAAGTGGGATTTGTATTCATTTGATATCCAAAATGTCTTCTTCTCATGGTCCATTTATGTGAGAAAATACCCAATGTTATTTAGTTTAAAGTTTTAAAAATCCTTGTTTTTATCATTTTCCAACTGAAAATTAGGTGTTTTGTTTTTACATTTTTCTAAAGTAATGGTCAGTGAAACATGTATTTAATATACCAGTTTTGTTGTTTAAAATTGATATCCTGTGGGATTTTTAAAAAAATTCATGTTATAAATTCATCTTAATTTTCTTCATCCTATGAATTAAACCTATATACCTGTAGTTTTTGACTTAACAACAGTTCATTTAGTGACAAGTTACAACAGCACTGAAAAAAGTGACTTGGGACTGTTAATTTTTTTATTTGTCACGAAAGTGACTGTGAAGGTTCCTAGATTGGGGCTGAAAGGCAGAAGTGGAAGCAATATCCTCCATCCCATATTTGGGTAGACCAGGTTGCCCTGATTAAAAAAACACTTGACTTGGGACTGTTTTTCACAATTACAACTGTTGCAGCATTCCCATTATCAAAATTCAGATGCTTGGCAACTAACTCATATTTATGCAGTGCCCCAGAGTCATGTCATCATCCTTTGCCACCTTCTGACAAGCAAAATCAATGGGGGAAGCCAGATTCATTTAACAACCTTATTGCTAACTTAACTTAAGGGATTCAGTTAAGAAATGTGGCAAGAAAAGTTGTAAAATGAGGCAAAATTCACTTAACAAATGCCTCACTTAGCAACAAAACTTAGGGCTCAATTGTGGTTGTAAGTCGAGGACTACCTGTGCTAATGATAATCTTTAATTTGAGAGAAATTTCCAATGAGATATGCCTTTAGGATTAAACCTCTGCCACATGCAATCATCTGAGATATTTTGGCACATCTTAAATTTTGTAGCACATGGTTTTAAGTTCCTTCTTGGATACCAGTTGATCTGGGATAATAACCAACTAAGATATGTGCTGCTACATAAAATTTGAGAGTACATGAAATTGCTTTGCAGAAATGTGTTGTCCCATTCCCCCCGCCCCCCAATACAAAATGGCAGTATATATATTGATTAAGCCTAGGTT